AGGGTTGACATCAGTTTGAACAATAGGCCTGTCATATGCAGGGTTGACATCACGTTTGAACAATAGGTCTGTCATATGCTGGATTAACATCAGTTTGAACAGTAGGTCTGTCATATGCAGGATTGACATCAGTTTGAACAATAGGTCTGTCATATGCAGGATTGACATCAGTTTGAACAATAGGTCTGTCATATGCAGGGTTGACATCAGTTTGGACAGTAGGTCTGTCATATGCAGGGTTGACGTCAGTTTGAACAGTAGGTCTGTCATATGCTGGATTGACATCAGTTTGAACAGTAGGTCTGTCATATGCAGGGTTGACATCAGTTTGAACAATAGGTCTGTCATATGCTGGATTGACATCAGTTTGAACAGTAGGTCTGTCATATGCAGGGTTGACGTCAGTTTGAACAGTAGGTCTGTCATATGCTGGATTGACATCAGTTTGAACATCATGTATCTGTACAACTATCATGTAATCATTATTATCATACGTATTATAATAGATACTATATACAGACCTTCAGTATATGCTGGAATATTTGTAGTAATCGGATCTTTAGTTACTAATGATAAATTAAAATAATAATTTAAATGTATCTCATACCTTCATTTTTCTTCCTTCTTCTAATCCAAAATATTGATACTATTACTAATATTAGGAAGATGACTGAACCTGCTACCACTGAAGACAGAGTATATAACAATTGTATTATTGGTGTACTGTCTGGAGTAGCTGTCATCACTGGAGTATGCTCTGTGGAATTAGCAATACAATAACTTATTGTACCTTATAAAAAGACCGTATACCTATTGAGACAGTAGGTGATGCATAGTAACTTGCTTTTTCAGACAATTCTATCATGGTAGCACTCATTGGTCCAGTTGTTATCATTGGAGTATACTCTGTGGAAATATTGGCATAAATTTGCTATACCTTATAGAAAGATTTTATACCTATGAATACTGAAGGAGATGAATAATAAAATGTTGCTTCAAACTCACTTCTGATCACTAAACCAACATAATTAGTAAAATAATAATAATAATAATAGTAGATTTCATTACCATTGATTGTAGTGAGTGCATTTGAAAGTGATGGGATGTTAATGATTACAATCTCAACCAGTGAATGATACTGTACAGGAGGTCCATATATTGATCCATTGTTGAGATAATAAACTGATACATTATACACTCCACTGGTTGATACTGATAGTATCCTATAGTCTGATCCAGTTATATTAAAGTGTTCATTCCTTCCATTACTAGTATCAGTAAATATCACATGACATCCATCATCAGTTGATACTAGTTGATATATACACTGTACACTAACTGATCCATTGGTATATGTATTGTTAATGTAGAGACCAATGACCTGATATGTAGCTGAGAGAAAGAAATGAATATTAATAAATATAATACTAGCTGTATACTTACTGATGATGGCATATGTCTCATACTGGAGCTTGTTCCTTAAGTTAAATACACGTACAGTATAATTGTATTGATGATGTGGTATTAATGTACGTATATCATTAATAGACTCATCAGTACCAGTGAATGTGTACTGATCAATGACTGCAGTACTGTCACTGGTAATAGTTAGGGAAGTGTTGGATTGTGAAGGAGGACAACTTAACTGATGACAAACAATGAAGCACATTATTAAATGAATTTTTATTTACCTTAATAGTCACATTAGGTCTTATGAAATCATCATTATTAATTGTAATATTAACAACATAACCAAAACCTATTAAGAAATTGCATTGACATAAAAGAATTAATGATCACTTACTTCCATTTTTGATTGCAAAACCAATTGAAGTATATTGATCCAGTAGTGCTGTTACACTGATATTGAATGAATCACAGTCTGTGATATTAGGAACTGTAACACTTGTGTTAGGTGTATTTGTGTCCAGTAAGATTTCATCTTCATCATCAGTAACTAATACTTGATAACTGACAGGTGATCCATCAGGAATATCAGCAGAAGAGTAACTAGGAGGCGACCATGTTATAAATAATGAATTGTTTATTGTAAAATTATACTGAATATCTTCAACTGATGATATACCTATTAATACATTACACTGTAAGAACATTATAACACAAATTGTCCCTAAAAGTTATACCCTATTTGCTGACCTCTAATATTTAGTAGTACACTATGGAAATATATAATCTGATACGGATTCAAAGAAGTAACTAAACTGCTAATTTCCAGTCCATCATTAATAGGTAGTGCATTTATTGTCAGCACTGATGAGAAGTTAGTATTGTTAACAGTGGTAGTAACGGCTGTTATTTGTCTTTGTTGTGCAGTGGAGTCAGTTAGTGCAACACGTTCTATCAGCCAATGATATTGATCATTTCCAATTCCAGTTCCTTCACAAGTGAATGTTGCTGTAGTATAAATAGGAGCTACTACTGATACTGGAGGTACTGTAATGACTAGAAAGAAATTAAAATGATTCAATTATAACATTTGTGTATTATATTTTACCAACTCCATCCACTGACAGAAAGATTATAAATATTGACACCAAGAGCAATGTTGCCAGCTCAAACATCTCTTGACTCTTTGACTTTCAAATCACCAAATGTATATAATAAAAACAGTCACATTATTAGGTCCAGTATTATTATCAACAGTGCAGGGTATGTTAAGATTGCTTTTCATAAGTTGAAATTCATGATATAATGCTATTTATACCACACTATTCAACAAAATAAAAACAGAACTCTTCATACTACTGACTTAGCTTCTTTTAATTTTTCAATGCCTTGTACACACCTTAAATTCCTTCATGAGATGAGAATAATAATTATTGTAAAAGAATGACTCATGCATGCACAATGAGTTTGAAATTATTAATAATCTGATGAATTATTATTCATCTGATACCAGCAGTGAGTCACTGCTGGTGGGTACGGCCTCTTTTCTCTTTCATTTGCAGTGGTCCCTTTGATTCCTTCTTGGATTTTTTGTCTGATTTCTCTTCTTCTTTCTACTCTGTCTATGCCTGTAGATTGAATAATAATGATAATAATTAATGATGAATAAAATTTTTGGTGGATTCTTAAATCACAAAAATCTCTGACAAAAAAATTTGTTAAAATTTTAATCACTGCTACTGTCATGTCTGCTCCTCTTGCTGCTTCGCTTTTTACTAGTTCTTTTTGTTTCATAATCGTCATGACGACGGTGTTTTCCTTTCTTCCTTATAAGGTAAGTGTCATCATCATCATCATCTGATGAGTCGCTGCTAGTGGGTGTGGCCTCTTTTCTCTTTCGTTTACGGTGGTCTCTTGATTTTGATTCCTTTTTTGATTTTTTGTCTGATTTCTTTTTCTTCTTTCTACTCTGTTTATGCCTGAAAATAATAATAATAATAATAAAATTAATGATACCGTACAAAATAATTTATTGATGAGAGTAATATTTAGCCAATTTGCCTGTCGAAAGAAATTGGCGGATTTTATATTGACAATTTTGTGCCATGTGTCATTGAGCATGCTCAGATTGAAACAAAATGGCCGATTTTATATTGGCGATTTCTTCATAAAACTGCCAATCACCAATATTAATTCCTCACCAATAAATCATCTTGTACGGTTAATACAAAATTGTATTATAAATCTCATAGCATCAATAAGAGCATGTGTGTGTGGGTGTATTAATTTGTTGGTCTAAAGTCCACAATTTAGTAATGTTCAAACTTCAAAGCTCTAAAAGTTGTAAGTTAGGTTCAATTATTCTACAATCATTACACAAGAATGCTGCAGAATGATGGACCTCTTTTGGAACAAATTTTAAAATTTGGCCAGAAATGGCATATTTCTAGAAAACAGAATTTCAAGTCAAAACCATCTACCGACATTGCATAATGCATTTACAGTAATGGGGTTTATTATTGTAAAAGCATAAACTTTATTATAATTATTAATGTACTTTTCTTTTTTAGTCATTCCATCGTTATCAGTGGTAGATGTTGCTTGACCAGTAGTGGCTCCTGGGGGTAGAGTTGGACCAAATTCAGAGGATGACAACCTCTCCCTTTCTCCTTTTCTCTGCAACACGAGTCTCTCTGAATCTTTGTCACCTTCCCTCTATCAATTAATAGTAATAACAACGACAACACTAAACACAGTGCTCCCCACAAAGCATGCTAAGTGAGCTAAGCAGTTCAGCAGCTTATCCCAATAGAGTAGTAGTACACAACTTTTGGAGAAACTTTACAAATTCATACAAAATATAGTTTTGATTGGAATTGGCTCAAACTTTCTACGCAACATAAGTACATGTATATGTATCAGGAAATGTAATAAAAATGGTGAATTCTCACCTTTTCATTTTTGGCGAAATTTGGCTAAAGACCCTGTACTATAGTACAGGGACTTTGGCCCAATTTTTGAGAAACTTTAAAAATTCATAAAAAATCCAATTTTGATCGGAATTGGCTCAAACTTTCTACATAACATAAGTACATGTATATGTATCAGGAAATGTAATAAAAATCGTGAATTCTCACCTTTTCATTTTTGCCGTAATTATTTTGGCCAAAGACCCTGTACTATTATAGTACAGGGACTTTGGCCCAATTTTTGAGAAACTTTTAAAATTCATAAAAAATCCAATTTTGATTGAGATTGGCTCAAACTTTCTACGCAACATAAGTACATGTATATGTATCAGGAAATGTAATAAAAATCGTGAATTCTCACCTCTTCATTTTTGGCGAAATTTGGCCAAAGACCCTGTACAGGGACTTTGGGCCAATTTTTGAGAAACTTTAAAAATTCATAAAAAATCCAATTTTGATCGGAATTGGCTCAAACTTTCTACGCAACATAAGTACATGTATATGTATTAGGAAATGTAATAAAAATGGTGAATTCTCGCTTTTTCATTTTTGGTGAAATTTGACCAAAGACCCTGTACTATAGTACAGGGACTTTGGGCCAATTTTTGAGAAAATTAAAAATCA